TTCATTTATTTATGTTTTTCTTTTAATTTATGTGATCGTGGCTCCACCGGACTATTCCTAATCTCACAGGACCCTATCCCCAGAACAACTGTAGAGGTAAATACTCATGTCCACTGGTCAGATTCTAGCCCTAGATGGCTTTATTTATGCTTCCTTACCTTTACACATTTTTTTGTGTGTGACTTCAAACTAACTTATCTATAGTATCTGCTCAATATGATGATTATGCAACATCCCTAATTGAATGAAAGTCAAACCTGTGACTTTTCATTTGGAATGATAATAATGGTACAATTAGACCATAATGTACTTGACTTGATAATATTGATGATTGCATTACTATGCAATGCTATATTCTTCCAATAAGAGGGTGTTTGGTTGAAAGGAATGAATTAGGGGGAAATGAATTTTAATTCAGTGGGAATAAAGTTGGAATTCAAATTACGTTGTTTGATATGGAGAAATATAATTATTGAAATTGGGAAGGAAAGAAGTGGTATAAAGACTAAAATACCCTTATGTAATAATAATAGTAATAATAACCATGGTAGTAGTGTCATTTCATATATTTTTCTTTTCTCACATCCATTGAATTGTAATTCTGTGAAATTGTAATTTCCTCCAACTAAATAACGTAATTGAGGCATCTATTGAATTAAAATTCAACTACAGCTAAATTACAGTGAACCAAATAAATGTATACAAACGAATTGATAAGTTCAATATATAGTAAAAAAAGTTGTGCTCGAAAATAGATAATTGAGTGGATCAAATATAATTTTTGTATATCTAGATATGGACGATAGAAAAACAAAGACAGATGAAAGACAAAGACCTATTGTCAAAGTAACAGGTAAATCTTACATATATTTTTTTATTTATCATTATATGCTTTTTTAAACCAATGAATACTGAGAACTTTAAAATAAGTTGGAATGTTGGATAGGTTGTTGGGTTGATAATTATAATGTTTTAAAATTGATTGTTAATATAAAAAGCTTATTTATTTTGTTGATTTGAACTAATTAATTATATATAATTTAAGTTAGTTTACTTTTTTATTGTTCTTTATCGATTAAAGAGGTCGAGACATCATGCATTCGGAAGGTTCTCAGTTGGTTGAAAGGAAGAGGCATGGGGGATGTAGACATTGAGTCAGACTCTCAATTAGTTTATTTTGCATTACGTTCAAACTCTTTTAATTATTCTTTTGGCTTTATTATTGGCGATGTTAAAGAAGTTACACCACGATAGATGGTGTACACTTCTATTTTGTTAAGCGATCTGCGAATCGTGTTGTTCACACTGTTGCTCGGAAAACCATTTCTATGTCAGGTTGCGAGGAGTAATTTGACAATCCACCTTTTATCTTGTTGATTGTCTTCATTCTGATTTAGTGCATTAAGATTTTTTCTCCAAAAAAAAAAAAGTACCAAAAATATTTACTTTATACATATTCTATAGATATTATTTACAAATTTCTACCTCCACAAAACAAATATTTACCTGTACTAGTGCATAGTAAATAAAAGTGAGTCAAACAATACAATAGATTATTTTATTAAATTGGCTTTAAGTTTTTTCGTGCACTAAAATAGAGAGAGAGAGAGAGAGAGAGAGAGAGAGAGGGGTGCCCCCAAAGTCCAAAGTCCAAAGTAGGCTTCTTCTTGTATGAGAAAAGGGTTTGAGACAGGAGGAAACAAAGCCTTGGGACAGAGGGCCAGTAAAAAAAGTGACTTTAGTCACAAGCCATGGTAAAAAGTGTTTTTATGCATCAAAATGGTTAAAATATGAGGACCCATCTTTTGGGGCTTTCAACTATAAAAGGTTAAAATATGGACTGTGCATTCCACTTTACCTCCACCATTATATATCATTAAAAAAAAAAAAAAATGCTAAATATCATTTCCACATAATATTTTGAGAAAATGACACTTTTTTTTTTTCATAAATTATATATTTATAGCACTTTTTCTTTCTGAATTATTTCTGTATTCACATTAGTTTCCTCAATTATTATAAAAGTAGCAATCCCCCCCCCCCCCCCCCACCTATATTAATAGACATTTTTACCCTTAAATAAATATTTTAGCAATCAAATTGAAATTTTTCGGTTATGATATAGAACCGGAACCCAATATTTGGAGAAGAAAAATAAAAAAATATTTATTTTAAGGGTAAATATGTCCATTTAACATATCAGGGGAAAAGACTATCACTTAAATAATTCAAGAAAAAAAGTGCTATAAGTATATAACACAGGGAAAAAAATGACATTTTCCCTAATATTTTTGTCATGTATTTATTTTTATTATTTTTTTAGTTTCATGTATTTCTTACTGATTAATAAAAAAAATAAAATAAATGACCAAGTAACTTGTACTTTGTTCAATGACATCTCTGTGACTCTCCCAAATTTCAATTGGGACATTGATTTTTTGTGCTTCAATAGATTAACACAGTATGTGTGGACACTGGACACATACTACATTGTAATAGAGTTAGTAGTACTAAAAAAAAAAAAAAAGAAATGAGTTATTTCGTATTAATAATAACATTAGTTATGAATATGCATAATGTGTGATAAAATACGCAATATATAAAAGTATTGGTCAATTTATATAATTAAAATAAATGTAAAATTATAATTTTATTATGAGAAAATTAAAAAATATAAATAATTAGTACACATCATATAAATAAAAAAAAAAGTTGGAAATAATTTATAAGTATAAAAAAGTAATTAGAATGTAAAATTTATTATACTTAATTTGTTATTTAGCAACATTAACAGCCTATGAGAAACGAAAAATTTTAAGAAAAAAAATGATAAGATTTTTTGAGTATATAACGGAGAGAACATAATATACAAATGAATATTGCATCTAATTGCTTTCAAAAAAAAAAAATTATTGCATCTAATTATACATAAATAAATATATTTTTATTCTCATTAGATTTCTATAATTATTAAAATTTATTACAACATTTTATTAAGATACTGCCATGTCAATAAGTAAATTTATAAGTTAATAAAAAAAAATACATTTTCAAGAGATAAAACTCATATTACGTGTCTTAGTTCTGGTGAAATGAAAGGAATAAAGAAACATATCTTACTTTTTTAATAATTAAAATATGTCACATTAATGAAGAATAAAAATTAAAAATACATATACAATTCTCCTATTAAAATATATATGTACATAATATATATATATATATATATATATATATATATATATATATATATATATATTACTGTATTCTCATAACTTTTAGCCAGGTCAGTTGAGCATTGGAATTGGGAAGATCAAAAGTAATTATTCTTTCTTTGAGTCAAATCACAGATGTGAATGCATGCGCTTTGAAACTGATGATTATGCATTTATGCCAAAAACTAATGCTGTCTCATGTTTCTAGCTACGTAGTATTTTTATTGGGAAAAATAGTTAAATAAGCTATTAAATTTTACACAAAAGAATAATTAAGTGATTTAAGTCATTAAACTATTAAAATGTGTAATTAACTATTTGAATTTGATAAATTGAGTCAAATAAGAGCATTCTCAATAGTAAGATTATTTTGTGATGTTTGAAAAGTGATTAAGAAAGAGAAAATTATATGTACCAAAAAAAAGGAAAGAGAAAATTATAAGAAAGATAAAAAAAAAAAAAAAAAAAAAACAAAAGTTGATTTTCAAACAAAAGTGACATATGACACAATATTATTTGAGGAGGGACCCACATCTCTACAAAACCCTATTTGCCGGAGATCCTCACATTCTCTCTTTTTTTTCAAAGTGATAAAAAATTCCTCAAAAACTATGAAAAAGTAACTAATAGGGATGCCTTAAGACCTATATATCAGTAATCAATAGGTCACCTGTAAAATTACTGTCATTCCCCATCGCTAAATCACCGTATTAAAAAAAAAAAAAAAACGTTGGTCACCTTCTTCAATGACAATGACAATTGACGACCGTCGACCACCAAAATTGTCAACGGAACCATAAATCTGACCTCAATACTTTCTTAAACTGCAACTTTAGCTTATTATTATTGTTGTTGTTGTTTTTTCTAATTTAGGAATATGAATTCAACAAATGTTAATATTTTCATTTCAAAATGTTAAATTTTAATGTGTAAACAAATCTATTTAGTTTAAAACTATTTAAAGTTTATGAAAATGTCCTTTTTAATCTTTTTACATTTATCATCTTATCAAAAAATTAATTTTACTAAACACTTTTAAGCATAATCAGCTAACAGATCTTCAATTTTCACCTTATAGCTTATATCTTTTCAGCTTTCAACTACTTTTTCAACTAGGTTTGTCAAACATAGCCATTGTCATATATGTTTGTCTCACAATTATTACGTAAATGACATGTTTGATTATTAAAATTAATTAAAAAGGTTATATGATAACAATAAATATGAAATTTTGATTTCATATTTTTCTCATTATATAAAATGGAATTTTATTTTTTTATTCCAATAAGTTTATTTGCAAGTTTTGACAAATGTAAAAGTCCTAAGAACTAAAAGTAGTTTTTTGAATAAGCTTACTAATACCTTAGAAATGCCTATCTCATATAATAATAACAATAACAATAACAATAACAATAACAATAACAATAACAACAACAACAATAATAATAATAATAATAATAATAATAAATCAAAGATTAATATTGCACATACTCACATTTTTATTTTGTTTTTTTTTTTACTTTCTACTTACGTGGCATGCTCTAATTTATTTATTGAAAGTTTAGTTTACATAATAAGTCTGAATTGGAATGAAATTATCGAGAATAGGCCTATTCTGTTATTTGTTGATAGTTTTTTTCCGAGAATGAACTATTCTCCTTGGAAGATATTTATATTTACGTGACATGCTCTAATTTACTTCGTGTATTTTTATTAATATATACTCACTAATACTTTTTGTATATATTTATTATAGGGTCACAAAGAAGATACACTTTTTAGAACAAGAAACTTGAAGTAACCCCTTGATCTACAAATCTTTCTTTATATTGCACCACATAATTATCCTTATTTCTCTTTCGTACATAATCACTCATTTATAACCTACATAGTTAACATTTTTGGAGTACTAATACATTTATTTTTAATGAGTTGAGTTATGCTTTAATTAGTACGTCCTTTCTATCTTAAACCATTAGGGCACTTTTGATGCTTTACTACTGTTTCAAGTTCTGAATATAGATTACCATAAGAAATAATATAAGTAATTGTGTTGTTGACACTTATAATATTTGTATAATAAATTTCTCCATATTCATAAAATTCATGACAATTTCTAACTCAACCATATTAGTGTCTTTTTAAAAAGAATATTTAGATCTGGTCGTTTTGCATCTCTAATACTTTTCACCTTATGGACGAACATATTCAAGACTAAATTTTCTAAGAGATTCAAGTGAGACAAAGTTTCTTTATTAGATTTTGTTTTTCATGAATTCTTATCTTTTGCATTGATAGATTTCTCACGCTTATGGTGTTAAGTAGCATTGAGACCATGTATTTATCAATTTCTCATGCTTAATTCCATGATTGTTTTAGTATAATTGAGTAGTGCACAATGCTTAGTTTGCTAATTGATTAATTGCCATTTGAATTGTCAATCTATCATGATCGTTGATTTAGTCTAGTTGTATTTAGCAATAACTTGGTGTGTGTTGTTGTTAAGGAGATTTGATAATCTGATTCGATTGTAATAAATATGGGGTCTGTTTGTTCACCGGGATTTAGGTCATTCTTGTTTCTAATGCTATCAGTTGAGTTATCTTATGAGATTTCTTTGATAATCAATTGGTAAGTGAAATAACCATAGAGGTCTCGTAGTTATCAACAAATTTAAGAAGGATTGGTGTTTGGGCGATTGTTCGGGTCGTTATAATCAAGTCTATTTTGTAATCGTTATGCTTATCTTTACAACTGTGATCTATTGTTTGAACCGTTGTGGAAATAAATCAGTAACTAAAACTTTTTATTCATTAAAGTTTTATCTCTTGCATCTTGTGTTTATTGTTAGTTTATATTTAAATCTTTTTTTTTTTTCAATTACAAAAATCCCCCATGTTTTGTTCTAAAGAAGTAGACCGGTTGTTCTATATGTGGATACAATCCCTATTCGATCACTATTATAGTGATTTTCTTAGGTGTGCGAATTTATTTTGGTTGTTCTACACCTGGCCATTATTTAAAGTCATGTTGTATGCTTTACATTATATTTACACCTCTTGTTTATTACTCCATCCATCACATTTTACCTATCTTGTTTACTAATATTTGGTCAATTCAATTCTTAAATTTTTTAATTTAATACTTTTTATAATTTTTAAATATATATCTATATTTTGTGTTTAATAGTACTTTAAATATAATTTATATACTAATACTAAACTAATATTATGAAATAATTAAATTGTAAATAACTTCTGTCAAATTTTATTAACTAAATATAAGACACAACATATGAGATGGGAAATATATTTAGATTTCATGAAAGATGAAAATGGTCAAAGGATAAGACAAAGTAGTCATTGGAAAAACACACACTCATAAAGTTGCAACTTTATTTGATAATCCAATTGAGACCAATCATGGACCATTTGATTTTCAATAATTGATTAAATTTGTATAGCCAACTATGACTAGTGAATAACCTTAGTGTTACATTCCCAAAGAATGTTCATCTTCAATTATTGCAATACCCACCCACTATATATACAAATGTCAAGTCATTTTCTATGCATATATCAAGCCAAATTACATGTCTATTGGTATGCATGTTTTGTTTTTACAAAACGAACAAAAAATGTAAAGTTCTTCTTATAATAATTTTATTTTAGTAGTTTGTAATTATAAGAGTTCTGAGTATTGTGTCTCAAAAATTGAGATTGTGTTATTCCTCGCAACCAAAAGGTCATTTAATTTGTCTCATATTACCAAACATGTCACGTGAATATTGTTTTTGATGAAAAAGAATGTGTGGTTATTTAATCTTATTACCAAAGAAAATTTTGTATTCCAAAATTTGAACTAAATGCCCTCTTTAAAAAACACAGATAATATTACACCCATCACTAGAGATTATTAAAATACTTAAAACAAAAAGGGTCCCCCCTTAAGAATATGATTGTAAATTGTATTCGTAATTCTCCTTCTCCGGTGAGAAACTGAGAATGCAGCATTATAGGTTTCTCCCATGGGATGGAGTTGATAGGATAGCTGCAGAGTAAATAATTTTTGGGATATGGTGAAGGCCTGAGATAGATAGAGAGAGAGAGAGAGAGAGGATAAAAGTCGGCCTGTCTAGTCGCTGTTCTTTCTCTCTCTCTCTCACATTTCTTTTCTCCACAGTATTTAACGTTAAATCACATCGTATCAGTATTCACCTCAAAACCCCCCCTTCCCTTTTTTCTCCACTTTCACTGCATTTACTCTCACCCTCTCACACTTCAACAAGTCTCTGATTTCTTCTCTTTTCATGTAAGTCTTTGTGGGTTTTCTCTCCTTTTTGTCTTTGCATTTAACTTGTATTGGCTTTGGCAATTTGGCATTGGCATTCCCCCCCCCCCCCCCCTTCCCCTACCCCTACACCCATGTGCTTCCTCTTTGTTTGTTTCTGGAAAAACCCCCAAGAAATGTACATGATGCTGAAGAAAAGATAGAATCTTTGCTGTTTTGTAACGTTGAAATCAAACCCTTTTTACCCACTAGCCTATAAATACAGACTGGATTGTTTTGCATTACATTTTTTATATTGTGTAGTGTTGGGTTCATAATATTTTACTATTTTATTTTTCCCCTCCCCCTTTTGTTTGAAACAGAGATCTTTCTTTCAATTCATTCCAAACAGCGCTGAAGAAATGACTAAAGATGAAGACTTTAAGCACCTCAAGATCCAGGTTTGTCTTTAAAAGAACAACCTTTTTGTGTTTGTTTGTTTGTTTTGAGCATCCTCAGTAAAGTTGGCTAGTGTTCTTTTCCTCACAATTTCCTTTCTTTCTTGTTTTTGCATTTTTTATACAGACATGTGTGCTCAAAGTTAACATACATTGTGATGGGTGCAAGCAGAAAGTGAAGAAGATTCTTCAAAGAATTGAAGGTCCCATTTTTATTTTCTTCCTCTTTAACCATTTTCATGGCCTTTAAGGTTCCTTTATTTTTCATGCCTTTTTTTGCCTGTTTCCTAGTGCTTTGTAGTCCTTGCTGTCTGATCTTTGGGACTCAACTATTATCTGAAAAATGGGGAAATGGTTAAATGCTTGGGTATAAAGTTGGTTGGGACTTGTAGTAGAGCTTTTAAGGCTTGTTTTTATGAGATTTAAGAAGTAAAAGAGACAGTGGACTAGTGGAGTTTACTCAATGATGATGATGACAGTGTAGTTTTTGACTAGTTTCTTTTACTTGTTTCCAAAAAAGTTGGGTACTTTGGGTAATTTGAAACCATGTATGCCCCAAAATTGAAGGTTCTTGTTCTTTCTTTTTGGCTTCTGAGCTAGAGAGGACCAAAAAGATTACAACTTTTCTTGATTTTTCAAAAACAGGTGTTTACCAGGTGAGCATTGATGATGAGCAGCAGAAAGTGAGTGTTGCAGGGAGTGTGGAGGCTCCCACACTGATCAAGAAACTGGTTAGGGCTGGGAAACATGCTGAGCTATGGGGGAACCAGAAGGGTAACCAAAACCAGAAGCAAAAACCAAGCAATGGGAATGAGGCAAAGAACAATAACCAGCAAAACAACACTGCCCAGAAGCAGCAGAAACTTATGAAGGATCTTGAGGCTCTGAAGAGCCAATTCTTGCCAGAATTGGAGTATGAGATGGGGGAGGAGGAGGAAGAGGAAGAGGATTGTGGCGGGGAGGATTTACGGTTTTTGAATATGAATAAGCTTTCCCAGCAGCAGATGGCTTTGCTTAGGCAACAGACAGCTGAGGTTAACAATGCCAAGAATCTTGCAGGTGTTAATAATGGTGGGAGATTGAACAATGGGAATAAGAAGGGAGGAATCTCAATCCCAATCCCAAATCAGAATGTGGGAATGAAGGGGAATTGTCCAGGAGGGATTGATGAGAAAACAATGGCTGCTTTGAGGATGAATCTTGGGGGGGAGGGGGGGAAGATGGTGGGAGGAAATGACATAAATGCCATGATGAATCTTGCTGGCTTCCATGGGAACAATGGGGGTAACAATGTCAACAACCCTGCTGTCCTCTTATCCCAAGCCAACAATCCAAACCCAAACCCCAATCCCAATCCTAACCCCACTTCTGGTTTCCATCACCACCTGCTCCAACAACCAAACCAAACCAATCTCATCCAAGGGCAAAATGGTAATTTCCCACCTTCCTCACCAATGCTGATGAACATGAATGGATATCATCCTCTCCACCCCCAAGCCTCTATGATGATGAACATGCAGAACAGGCATGCTGCTATGCAGCAAGCTCAGATGATGTACAATAGGTCTCCTTTCATCCCTCCCTCCACTGGCTACTATCACTACAACAACTATGGTCAAAGTCCAGTCCCATACCCCCCCACCTATGTGGACCCCACTGCTGACCACTCTGCTACCCACATGTTCAGTGATGAGAACCCAAGCAGCTGCTCAGTTATGTAATAACATATAATGCCCTTTTAACTATGGGAATTTGTGAAAAACCAAAAGACAAAAACCTAAGTTTGGGGTTATATTAGGTTGCTGCTTTTAGTTTCTTGGAATGTTTTGTACCATTGTGGGAATGGAAGTGCATGGTCTTGAAAGAGAGGAGTCTTTTAGTGTGACACTCTCTCTAATGTAGTTTTAATGTTTTTTGTGTGTAATTTCAGTTGCTAACATAGGAAGTGGTAATTGTTCTCCCCCACAATTGGCCTCTATTGCTGTGACATTTGATCATCAAACGCTCATCATTATGTCAAAAGTTATTTTTAGTAGCGAAAATGTTACTTTATTTTCATATAACTGCATAACAACTAGCTTTCATTTTCGTAAGGGATGGTGTTAGACTTGACCATTCAGACTTTTGTTGAACAATCTTCTAGTCATCTGGTACTGGATTTGATTTTTCATGCTTCTGTCCAACACCACTTGCAACTTTATTTTCTTACACTTGTATAACAGATTAACAATTAGCGTTACGTTTTCAAAAGGTATGATACTAGGCTTGACTCTTAAGTCTTTTGTCCAACAATTTCCTAATCATCTGATACTGGACTTGACTCTTCGTGCTTCTGTCCAACACCGCTCAACCCTTCAAACCTCTGTCCAATAGTTCCTTAGTCACCTGATACTGGGTTTCGTGTGCTTCTGTCCAACACTACTCAACCCTTTAGACCTTTGTCCAGCAATTTCCTAGTCACCTGACACTGGACTTAACTCTTCGTGCTTCTATCCAACACCACTCAACCCTTCAGACATTTGTCCAACAGTTCCTTAGTCACCTGATATTAGGCTTGATTCTTTGTGCTTCTGTCCAACACCACTCAACCCTTCAAACCTTTGTCGAGCAATTTTTTAGTTACATGATACCGGACTTGACCCTTTGTGCTTCAGTCCAACACCACTCAACTAGTACACTGATCAAAGTAAGCTTTTTTCCAAAATTTTGTGCAATATTTGGTGTGGTGGTGGTGCAAGACTGCAAGAAAGCACCCAAGATTCCAAGTCAACTTTTATGGATATGGACCCAAGGTTTGAAAAGAAGGTGAGCAACTATGTACCAAAAAATAAAATAAAATGGAATGGATGGTTCATACTTCAATATATATGTTTTGACAGAGAAGTTGGGAAGTGAAGCTGAACCACCATTGTTGACTGGGAAATTCTTTAATGTTTGAGGGACAAGGTGTGACATTGGGTAATGCAATGCTGTAAATGAGACATGATATCATGTTGCAGAGGTAGTAGGAGGAAGTGGGAACAGTTTGTTACCCTGTCAATCACCCCCCATTAAATAAGCACCAACTCCATGTGACTTTTTTTTTTTTTTTTTTTTTTTTTTTTTTTTTTTTTTTTTTTTTTTTTAAGTTGGTGGTGCTTGTCAGTTATCTGAAAAGGATAAGGTGGAAAAAAAATTATTTTCAAACAATATTTTAAGGGGGTGTTTGGTTGGATGGAAAATATTTTCCATGGAAAATGTTTTCCTGAAAATGAAGGAAAATGATGTTTTATGTTGTTTGGTTGGATTGGAAAAAGTTTTCCTTAAGAACAAGGAAAACAAATTCCTAGCTTAGGCTAGGTATTTTGTTTTCCATGGAAAACTAATATGACAATTTTACCCTCATCATTTTTTTTATTAATTACTCTTATTATTATTATATTATTATTATTGCGTAGGGTTATATTTGTCATTATACTCATTATTCCTTACCATTCCCAACTCAACCAAACAATGGAATTCATATTCCCAGTAATTTCTTTTTCACCAACCAAACAATGGAATCTGTTTTCTTAGAATTTATTTTCTATGGAATTCTAATTCCATTTCCCTTCAAATATTTTCCAGCGAACCAAACGAGCTGAAAAGGATTGAATCCCTACTTTATAGACAATCATAGTTAGATTGTGAAATGTGTTTCTATAATTTAATGACACTTTTTCATTTTGTCTTGAAATTTTGATAGAAGAAATATAATTTAATGACACTTTTTCATTTTGTCTTGAAATTTTGATAGAAGAAATATATAGTAAAATATATCTCGGTTTAAATACACTTGCTCATCTTCTATCTTGAAACTTTGGTAAAGTTTGTTTTCTTTTCTTTTAAAATAATAGAGAGGTGGAAAAACTTATTCTCAAAAGTTCTAAAACCAAATCAGTTTTGAACAACAGGCAACCACCCTCAGTCAATCACTGGCTGACATAAGGGCAAGAGTAGATTTAAAATCATCATTAGAAAATGACTTATCAATGTCTAGTTTGTTTGACTAATTTTAACTTATTTGACTGGTCAAATAATCAATAAGAGTGTTTGATAAATAATTTTTTGGCTTAGCTTATTGATGCCAATAAACTCAAAATGAAAAAGTTACTTTGAGTAGTTTATTGATATTACCTTATTGACTTATTACATTTTCATTTTAAAAGTCTAATTTACCCTAAATAGTTGCTGATTATTGTGGCATTTATATTTATTCAATTTTTATTCAAATTTATATTTTTAATATATCATAAGAACTGCCTAGAATCCGCATATCGGAGTAGAGTATAGTAGAAAGATTACATTATCTTTATACCATTATAAAAAAATTAAAATTTGCCCACAATTTTATTTACTGCTTTGACGTACTGCATGCTTTCAATACTCACAATCATTTGAACTTTCATACACTACACTTATATTTATTCCGCTGTGCAATCTAAGTTAGATTCTATTTAATTACTGAATATTCCTCATACTTATTTTGTGCAAGTTTAACTTATTTGAACTAATATGGTAAAGTGTAAAAATTTTAACAAAATCTATTCGTCCCTCCCCCCCTTCACCCTTTCTTATTTGACTTTTTATTATCCAACCAGGACGAACAATGTGTGTGTGAGTTTTGTGCTTAAGATGTGTGTGTTGTGTCAGTGTACTTAATGCGAGTAGTTGTTGAAACTTAAGGTGTGAGTTTTGTGCTTAATGTGCGTGATTTGTTGAAATTTAAAGTGCGTGAGTTTTCTTCTTAATGTGCGTGATTTGTATGCTTAAGATGGTCAGTTGTGGTAAAACTTAAGTAAACCATTTTAAAACCTTAGGTGCGTGATTTGTGTTTTTTTAAGGTGCTTTGTTGTGTGCTTAAAGTGCGTGATATTTGTTCTTAAAGTGCGTGGTTTGTGTTCTTAAGGTGTTTTATTTGTGTGCTTAAAGTGCGTTATTTGTGTACTTAAGGTGCGCTATTTTATAATGTTTAAGATGCGTCCTTCGCACAACCGCACGAGAACTTTTCCTCGCACTTGAACCCTTTCATATATATATATATATAATTAAAAAAAAAGATAAAAGAAATTTGGGCCTAAGTCGCCCTGACCCAAATTAATGACATTCTACTAAGCCCAAAATTATACTGTACACCAACAACCAAACAATAAGGTCCGATGTTGGTGTACAGTACAATTTTGGGCTTAGTTGAATGTCATTAATTTGGGTCAGGCCGACATAGGCCCAAATTTCTTTTATCTTTTATATATATATATATATATATATATATATATATATATATATATATATATATATATATATTACACTCCTATTACCTCATTTTACTTGTCATGTTTAATATTCATTTGTCAAACTAACTTCTTTTTTTTAAAAAAAAATTTCTTTAATATTTTTAATTATTTTTTTTTTGTGTTTAATAGTACTCTTAATGTAATTTCTAAATATATAAATTTTAGATACTAATACTAAACTTAATGTTATGAAAAATTGAATTAATAATAACTTCAGTCAATTCTCGTTAACCGAATCGAACACATAAAATTGGACGGGAAGTATAATTTAAGGCTTGTGTTCAAATGGTCTAATTCAGATTCGCAGGATCAGATGATCCATGTTCTTCTTCTTCCGCTTGTGTTTAGGTAATTTTTGAAATCCTTCCAACTTTGAGGCAGAAAGTGGATTATGGACGTCACTTGGAAGACTTCACTCACCCCTATGCGTTCATTTCATCACGGGCTTGTTGAAGATTAATTAAATCTCTTCAACCTGACTTAACATAGTATTGGAATTCATCATCTTAAGAAATTGATCAATTGTACTACAAATTTCTTTACACCAGCATCTTCACTTTTATATTTATGGTCCAAGAATTCACAACTCTTTAGTTATGACATATTTGCTATATACATCGTACATTGTATCGTGCAAAATGTTGAATATATAGTTTAGGCAAAAGAAGTTTGAATTCTTCCAAGCCTAAACTACACTCATGGATAGCACATCCATGTCATGTTAACTTTCTTAGTCAATAACATTGTCTAACCGTGATCGTGAGATAGAATAACATCTTTTACTGTCACTTCTTGAAATTCGATCCATTGAACTTTTTTAATTTTTCAATCATGCCACTTGGTACTGATACTAGTACCTCCATTGTACGGATATATTCGTGGTTGTCATCGCCACTGACTTGGAACCAAGCCGGGGTCATAAAATGTGTAACAACATGTGTAACAACATGAGAAGTGCTGTTTTCTTTGTTGCCACTCTCCATATTGAGTCCAATAATAATAATAATAATAATAATAATAATAATAATAATAATATTATTATTATTATTATTATTATTATTATTATTATTATTATTATTATTATTATTATTATTATTATTATTATTATTATTATTATTATTATTATTATTATTATTATTATTATTATTATTATTATTGACAATACATGGGAATACTTTTTATTTTTTATTTTTATGAATAAGGTTGTAAGCATGTAGGAATATTTATACGAAATACAAGCGAAAACAGAACGGTCAGGTAATCGATTCAAAATTTCAAGTCATGCATGTGTAACACCCACTTTCTTAAAATTTTATTTCCTATATTCAAATATGCTAGGAGCATTATAGCCTAAGTTTTCTAGGATAAAACAAATTTTACAATAATATAGTTGAACACTTAAAGTATATTGCTACCGGTAAATTAGAACAAAGGTTTTAAAACATATGAGTTTTAGAACAGGGTGAACAGAAGTTTAAGAGTGTTGTTTAAGAGGAAAAATATGTATTTTGTATGTCTAAATTATCTACTCTCGTGTATTCAATGAATATAAAGAGTTTTATTATATTGTCACGTTAGGAGATAATTAAAGTGGCAAAATATTCCCACCGACATGACTTTTACTGGTTGAATGATGTTTTTGAAGTGAAGGCA